CCTAGTTCGAGTAACTGCATCCACATAGTATATGTGTATTGTCAATTGATTAAGAAAATTCTAAATAGATACTATCTTATAATCACCCTAGATTATTAAAAAAAACTCCATAAAGTTCTAATTCAAATCCTGTAAAAAAATAAAGTAATTTTTTGAGTGGGGGAAAACTTCGAATCCTAGATGTTATGAGTTCGAGTAATTGCATCTATATATATATATATATATATATATATATATATATATATATTGTCAGTTAATTAATAAAATTTTAAATAAATATTACCTCGTAGTCCACTCGATTATAAAAAAAACTTCATATAGTTCAAATTCAATTCCTCTATAAAAGAAAGCCTTTCGGCTGTCAACAGGGGCATGAGCTTCAATTCTTCCCACCAAAATCTCGCGATTCCAACCCCATTGTTCAGCCTCCTCCAGAAGTTTTTGAAGCTGGAATTGTCGAATGGAGGACGTCACTTGTGGGTCAATTCCTTGGGGTTGCACCCAATTTCACTACTATGCAGAGGATGATAGAGAATCTGTGGAATAACCCAACAAAGGGGATTCGTGTCCAGGTGAGTTTTGCAGGTAGTAACTTATATCTATACACTTTTAATTTTGATTCTGCAAGAAACTGGGTTATAGAAAATGGTCCTGACACATTTTAAACAAGTCTCTAATCTTTCTCGTATTCCCTTATGGGTTCATCTGTATAATGTCCCGCTTGAATTATTTTCAAGAGAGGGTTTAAGTTATATTACTAGTGCAATAGGAATCCCTCTGTCGATGGATTCAATCACAGCCTCAAAGACACTATTAGAATTTGCTAAAATCTGTGTGGAGGTAGGAGTAAGGGGTGAAATTCCTAAAACTATTGATGTGATCCTTGCTAATGGCCAATCTACTAGTGTTTACGTTGAAGTACCTTGGTTTCCTTACAATTGTAAAAGATGCAATACTTTTGATCACAATGATAAATGATGCTTGGTTAAAGCTTCTGGTGTTTCTAATCCTTCTCAAGTTTGGAGAAATAAAGGAGATTCTCTTCCTGTAGCTCTTAACAACCTTCCTGCTACTAATGGTTCTTCTCAAAACACTTTTCAAACTGATCCTACAAAAGATTATGATTCTTCTAAGGAACCATTTAATCTCTCATTCCTCTTAATGAATCTTCAGCCACTGAAGATCCCTCTTCATCCTCCTCGGTTCTAGTAGGGGTTCTCACTACTCAAATTATTTATGACTCTTGTAAAGAACCACCATGTCTTTCTTTGTGCCACTCGGACACTATTGTTGTGAATGATCATTCTACATCCTTACTTGCACATCAGAGGTACCTTTACCTATCAATGATAATGGCTCTCCTGATGTAGGTCTTCTTTCTCATTCACCTTCTGTAATAGGTATGAAATCTGTTTCACTTCCTAAAAGAGGCAGAGAAAGACCTGTTAAGATTAAACCAAAGAATGCTCTCAAAGGATCCTCTAACAGATTTGAGGTCCTAAGTACTGTTGATGAAACCTTTTCCTCCATGGAGGATCTCAATAAAAAAAACCAAGGTTTGCTTCTCTGGGTGTAGCTTTACTGATCAAAGACCTCAAAAACAAAAAGAAAAAACATCTTATTAAAGCTAAAAGTCTTTCAGAAAGTGTAAATGGGGGTGATTTGGGCTCCTCTTCCCAATGATCATCAGTTTCTGGAATGTCAGAGGATTTAACAATCCTCAAAAACAAAATAAAGTTCTGCAAAAAGCTATTCTTTATAAAATTGATGTTCTATGTCTGATTGAGACTAGAGTTAAATCTGATAAGTTTGAAGACTTATTTAATTCTAAGTTTAGCAACTGGAATTGCTTCACTATATGATTATGCATCCAATGGAAGAATTTGGTTTCTTTGGACTAAAGGCCTTAATATATATTTCTGCCATGCTACTGCCCAAAGTATCTATGTCAAAGGTCTTTCTCAGGGTCAACTTTTTTATATTATTGTAATCTATGGTAGCAATGATGGTTCCCAAAGAAGGCTTTTATGGCAACACTTAAAAGACCTTGATTCTAATTTTGGTTATTTTCCCTGGATCCTTGGAGGTGATTTTAACATTATCCTTCACTCTTCAGAAAGCTCTGACCATGACATTATTGGTTCATTTGTTTCCACTGATATGAAAGATTTCCAAGATACAATCCATGCCCTTCTCTTTTAGGATCACCATTTCTTTGGACCTACCTTCACTTGGAGCAATAAACAAAAAGAATCATTTCTTTAAAAACTCTTTTGTGGAATTTGTTAATTGTTAATTGTAATTGTAATTGGATCACAACTTTAAAATCTCTTTTGTGGAATTTGTAGCCCCTGGGCCCTTTGATCATTGCATGACCATTGTATGGCTTTACAAGGATTCTCCTGCTAATCACCCTAAACCCTTCAAATTTTTAATTTCTGGACCAAACATCCAAATTTTCTTAATGAAGTTCATAACTCTTGGCAGCAACCTATCCATGGTAACCTTATGTTGTCTCTGTTTCTCAAGCTTAAAAGACTGAAAACTAGTTTGAAGACTTTAAACAAAGAATGTTTTAATAATATCTCCACAAGGGTCAAGCAAAAGAAAGTTGAACTTGAACAATTTCAACTCTCTACTCCACACAGAACTAGTTCCATTGACACTGAACTTAAAATTTGGATTGAATTGCCAGCCCTTGAAGCAGCAGAAAATCAGTTTTTAAAATAGAAAGCCAAAGTTCAATGGCTTAAGGAGGGTGATAAATGCACTAAATTCTTTCATTTTGTCATTGCTTCCAAGAACAAAAGAGATACAATAAGAGTCTTAAAGAATGAACAAGCCAGTAGACTTGAGTCTTTTGATGATAGTTCCTCTGAAATCATTCTTTACTTCAAAAATCTTTTAGGGAATGATGACCCTCAAGTCAGAGACAGTGGCCTTCAATCTTTTAAAAACCTTCTTCAGTATAATCTGCCTCCTGAAAATTCTGCAGAATTGGATAAAGACATCACTTCTAAGGAAATTAAAGAATCTATTTTTAGTCAAGGTAATAACTAGGCACCTGGTCCAGACAATTTTACCCCTTTCTTCTTTAAATTTTGTTGGCAAGTGGTTGGTGAGGATGTCATTAAAGCAGTTAAATATTTCTTTGCCAATTCCTCTATTCTTCCAGCCTTTAACTCAACCATTATTGCCTTGGTCCCAAATATTTCCAATCCTAGAAAGGTTAAAGATTATAGACCAATATCTTACTGCACTATCATTTATAAATCTATTACCAAGATTTTGGTTAAAAGATTGACCACTATTCTGCCTAGAATCATTACTCTTGACCAAACTGCCTTTTTCAAAGGTAGAAATATCATTGACGACACTCTTCTTGCTCAAGAACTTGTCAAGGGCTATGGAAAGAAAAACATTTCTCCAAGATATGCCATTAAAATTGATCTCCAAAAAAGCTTTTGATTCTATTCATTGGGGGTTCATTTCTTCTATTCTTGAAGTCATAAATATGCCTTCTAAATTCTATGCTTGGATTAAAGTTTGTTTCACTCAAGCTAGATACTCTATCTCTCTTAATGGTTCTTTGATAGGTTATTTCAAAGGTGAAAGAGGCCTAAGACAAAGTGATCCCCTATCACCTATCCTCTTTGTTTTTGCTATGAACATCCTTTCTAATCTCTTTAACCCTGCTGCTGCCAAAGGCTTATTTGGATATCATCCAAAATGAAAAAAACTTGGACTCACTCATTTAACCTTTGCAGATGACCTCCTCATTTTCTGTAAAGGAAACTTAGAATCAGTCATTGGAGTTACCTCTGTCCTTAACAAATTCTATGAAATGTTAGGACTTCAGCTTAATGCAGCCAAATCTGATCTCTTTGCTGCTGGAATTTCCCCAAGGAACCTTCATAATATCATTAATTCTACTGGATTCAAGAATGGTCTTCTTCCAATGAGATACATTGGGGTTCCACTTGTCACCAAAAAACTAACTGCTAAAGATTGTACTCCTCTTATTGACAAAATCAGATTAAGAATTCATCAATGGTCTGGGAAACATCTTAGTTATGCAGGAAGACTTGAACTTGTCAAAACTGACCTCCAAAGTATAACTAATTTCTGGTGCAGACAATTTCTGCTTCCTTAAGCTGTTATCAACAAAATTAACCAGCTATGTTCTAGATTCTTATGGAAAGGCACCAACTCTGCTGCTAATGGTTCAAGAGTAAGTTGGGGCAACATTTGTTGTCCCAAATCTGAAGATGGGCTGGGACTTAAAGATTCAAAAACCTGGAATAAAGTCTGCATATCTCAGCTTATTCGTAACATTCTTACTGGTGAATGATCCTTATGGATTGCTTGGATTTATAACTATGTTATTAAATCAAGGGATTTCTTTCAGCTGCCTACCAATGCTACTTACAATTATTGTTTTAACAGGCTGTTAAACATGAAAGTTGAGGCCATCCCTATTCTCAATGCAGGAGCTACTAAAAGCAACGATATATGGGATGAGATTCGTACCAAAAAGGAAAAAGTTCCTTGGCATAAACTTATCTAGTTTCCCCTCCATGTTCCAAAATTCAGTATCATCACTTGGATGACAATTCTTCATAGACTTCCCACTCGGGAAAGACTCATTCGAATGGGGATAACCACTGAAGGTTCTTGTACCTTATACAACGAGGGCCTTGAAATAAGAAACCACATATTTGTTGATTGTGCTATGGTTTATTCTCTTTGGAATAGAATTCTGCATCTTTCACTCTTAACCAAGCCTCATATGCCTTGGGATATCAAGCTTGCTTGGGCTATTTCTTGTTGGAAAGGTAAATCTCTTCTTTCATCTATTTTGAAGATTGCTTGGAGCTCTTTCATCTATTTTGTTTGGGAAGAAAGAAATGGACGCCTATTCCAAGTAAGAGCTAGAACTATGGATGACTTGCTCATTGCTATTAAGGAGATTGTTGGTTCTCAACTTAGGAATAGAGAACTAAATAGGCTTGATTTTGTTAATATGCAACTTTGTACCAATTGGGGTATAGGCTAACCATTCTTTTGTTGTAATTAGCTTTCTTTGATCCTTGATTGTGTTGTAATGTACTTTCTCTTATTTGGATAATGAAAATTTTACTTATCCAAAAAAAAAAAGATTAAAAGGGTAGAGTTTGTGTGAGCACGAGTAGACCGACCACGTTGGTGAGTCACCTTCTCAATAAATTTTAGGGTAAATTACAAAATTAATAACTAACTTTATTATCTCTCCTATTTCACTCACTATACTTTGAATCATTTCAATTTCCTCACTTAATACATTAGGTTTTTTGTCTCGACCGTTAAATAGTTAACGGCTTTAAAATGGTCAGTTATATAGATGCAAAACGATGTCGTTTTGGTTAAAATTTTAGTTTTTTTAAAAATGATGTCGATTTTAACGTCATTAACTGTTTAATGTTGGAGTGATTAAAATAGGAGAAATATAGAGTAAAGTTCAGTGATAAAAAACTCAATATATTAAGTTTAGTGAGTAAATTGAAAACTTTTAAAGTTCAGTGAGTAAAATAGGAGAGAGTAAAATTTGATGATGAAATTTGTAATTTGCTCAAAAATTTAACGACCATTTATATATTTAATTAGGGTTTTCAACCCAAGTTTTATCTATTTTCTTTGTATCGTTGCTAGTTAATTTTCTTTTTTATCGTTGTGATTGATGGCGACGCCGATGCTAACTTTAGTATTTGTCATCGACAATCGGTCTCATTATTTTCTTTTATTTTATAATATTGTATCTTTATTTTTTTAATAACTTTACCTTATCTCTATCTTTTTGCATGTTTGCGATAGTTTAACTGTTGTTTTCGTTTATTATTATTTTCAGGGGTGAAATACACATCGCCACGTCTGATTAAAATGTTTCTTATTTGTTATCATGTTGATCACCTTGCTTTAGTCCCTCGGATTAGATTTAGATATGCGATTTGTGTTCATGGATAATTTTCTCACGTTATTTGGTTTTGGTTTACGGTTTGTTGGTGGTCTTTCAATAACTTGATACATTTTGTGGTTTGTCTGTTGATGTAGTCAAATATGTTAGTGTCTACATTTTATTCGAATTTATTTAGTTAAATTTTTTAACATTTTCTTTGTATGGTCTTAAGTGATTAATTTATTGTGTTAATGATTGTAAGAAAATATTTTTATTATGCGTTTAGTTTACGATTATCTAACCTTCACTAAAATTTCTTTCAATATTTTTATTTTTAATAAAAGTAGTGATTTTTATTTTATAAAAGATAAATAAATTGAATGATCATTTATAATTTTTAAAAATTTAATAACTAAAATAATCATTTAAATACAATTAAGTGATTTAGGATATATTTTATCCTAATAAACAAAAGCTCCTTTTAGGGATTGATTGCCACGCCTCATCTTTCAATTTGTAATTAATTTATAAAAAAAAAAGTCAATGACTTAACCGCTAAGTTTAGCGCTTCCCCCTACCCTGTTTTCCTATGTTATATATATATATATAATTTACATATTCCAATCAATCCGTGGTTTCTGAAATGGAAGGAGAAGGGAAGGGAGAGGTTGGGTGTTGCAGTTTCAATCTGAATGCTCTCCCGCAAGATTGTATCGCCGTCATCATTTCCTTTACTTCGCCTCGAGATGCCTGTAGATTGTCACTTGTTTCAACCACCTTTAAATCGGTCGCCGATTCCGATGCTGTTTGGGAATCCTTCTTTCCGTCCAGATACCATGATTTGATCCCCTCGCCGCTCTCTTTCCCTTCCAAGAAACAGCTTTGTCTCAGCCTCTGTGAAAACCCTGTACTCATCCATGGTGGACGAATGGTAGTTTCATCCTTTCACTATCTACGCTTAATTCTTTTTAATTGTAACTAAGAATTCCGTTGCGTTGTTATGTGATTTAACTTCCTTTTGGGATGTACAAGTTAAAAATTTGGAGATTTGAAGGTTGAAATTTGGATGCATCATATTCGGAAAGCAAAATCATTGTGATTTTGATTTTTGCCTTCTAATTTCTGATATCTGAAAGTGTATTGGGATAAAACATTATCAAATTTAAGTGATTGAATTAACAAGATATGAGATTTCAATTTGTATGTAAACTTATGTCTCATGCTTGTTCTTATTTCATCAAATTGGATTTAGTTTTTGATGAAGTCTTAGAAGAAATTTTGAGTGAATAATAATAAAATATGCCATGGCTTTGCTGCTTGAATATTTTTCTTAACAATGGTGGTTTGGATGAAACAGAGTTTGTCGCTGGAAAGATCGAGTGGGAAGAAATGTTACATGGTGTCTCCCAGGGAGCTCCACATCGTATGGAGCGACACACCATCTTATTGGACATGGATTTCTATACCCGAGTCCAGGTATCACTCCAATGCTTCTAGGAATGTTAATTTGGATACTTCATGTTTCTTCAATTGGACTCAGATATGCATGATTATATTTGGATTTAATACAAAAACTATATGAATTCGAATTCAAATATTACAAAAGTTACAAATATTTTATCCATTTGGTTGTTTCCTAGGATTCAAAGTTTCTAACATAACTTCAATTAGAGGTGTCAAACAAGTTGTTTGAATCGGGTTTGGGTTGAATTATTTCGGGTTGTATTAGTTCTTTGGTTCAGGTTGATTCAGGCCAAGATCCAATCTGGTTTGGATTTAGTTTGGGTCTATGGTAAGTCGGGTCGGGTCATTTTTGGGTGTCAATTTGAATTGGATTACTTTTGATTTGTGTTATTTTCGATTTGGATTACTTTCAATTCGGATTATTTTCAGTTGGATCTGTATCGGTCCAATTAAAATTCGGGCCAGTTTCGGGTTAGGTAAAACGATTCAAATAATCGGATTCAAATCAAGTTTGTCATATCTAACTTTAATGGATGAGAGTTGCAGTACACTTTTACTCTTTCTAGCAATTCTTCTCTATTGTTGTTGTCAACATGTAAAACATTTTGATGTTAAAATAGGTTCAAAGAGATACCGGAGCTTCTGAGTGTTTGTTGGTTTGAGATCCGTGGGAAGATCAGTATCTCCATGCTTTCACCCTTGACGTTGTACAAGGCTTACCTTGTGTACAAAATGCACGACATTTACGGATTCGAATTCTACCCTGCACAACTTAGTGTTGGATTTGCCGGCGGTGAAGTTAGAGAGAGAGCTTCTTATTTGGACCCTGAAAGAGGACCGAGACTACATGATTGGCAGATTGAAGAAGACCAACTGCCTACACCCAGGTATGATGATCAACTCCCAAAGACTAGACCAGACGGGTGGCTGGAGGTGGAGCTGGGGGAGCTCTTCAATGAGGGATGCATTGATGAGGGGAATCTGGAAATGAGTGTTTTGGAGATCAAGGGAGGTCATTGGAAGGGTGGTCTCATTATCCAAGGGATTGAGATCAGGGCCATCACTCCTAATCTACCACTATGAGCTCTACCATTTGGACCAGGTTGCGGTTACGTTTTTAGTTGCAGGTTAAGAATTATGATTGAGACCCTTAATAACGATTTCAGAAGGCATCAAACCCGCTATACAACGACCACTATTCCGATAACATTATTTAAATCCATTCTCCTAAGTGGTAATTTTAAATTGGTCTTGGAAAGTCTTACTTTTGATCTTCTGATTAATGGGTGTTTACTGTTTAGTGTACGTTCCTTCTTTTTATTTCATTTTTTCAAACAATGTCGTGTGTATTTTTTTGGAGGGTTAGAAAGCGAAAGCCCTATCCTGGGTCTCAGATAATTGTATTAAAGTTTGGCATGATAAAATTAGGGTGTTCAATCGGTCGGTTCCGTTAATCGACTAAACCAAATAAAATTTCGTTAACTGATTTTTTAACCGTTAGTTGAATTGAATTTTTTTCGAAAATAATTAATCGAATTAAATAAAGTTCTGTTAATCGATCGGTTTAACTGAATTAACAGAAATTTGAAATAATATATTATATATTAATTATTTAATATTTTTGGTTAATTTGGTCGATTAACTTGGTTAATTCAATCGATTAATTCGGTTAAAACTAAAATTTAAACACTTTTAAAGCTATAAATAATATATTAAATATTTAAAAGTTTTGGTTAATTAATCGAATTCGAACCAAATTAATTGATAACCAAATTTATTAATCGTGAACTGGTCAAATTTAAATTAACCGATCGATTAACTGAAAAAAATTTGGTTCGATCGATTTAATCGATTACTTGAAATGTTAATTAAGGTATTATTTAAAAATGTTGTCGATTTAAACAATGTAATACGCACATATATGTGTGTTTAGATCTAGATTACTATATTTTTATTCTCTTTTAATTTTCTTCTATTAAAATTTTAATAAAATTATTGACGTAATCATTTTTAAATAATACGATAACAATGTCGTTTTTAATATTTACATAATTAGCTAATTTAATCAGATTTTTTTTATAATTTAACAAGTTCAGAAATCGACTAATTTGGTAATTTTTGAAAAGTACGATGAAAATATGATTTTGAAAATTACTTTTAGACTATCAGGCATAAGAATCTTAATTTTTACCAATGCTTTAAAACAAATGGTAAATTATACATTTAATATTTTAATTATCTTTTTTTTGTTTTATTTAGTCATTTAATTATTTTTTAAAATCATATTTATTGTTATAATTTAGTTATAATTTAGTTATTCATCACTACAAAATTAATAATGATATTGATGTGTCACCATAAGATAAAATCACATCATTATTGAGTTCTTTTAAAAAATATATATATCACTTCAATAGTTTTGTTAATTTTTCAAAGCTATAACAAATAACGCTTAAAGTATAATATCTTTTCTATTCAAGTATCTAAAGTAATTTTTTATCAAAATGAGTACTTAAAATTATCTTTTTGGTCAAAATAGGTAATTAAAATATTTTTTTTCTCAAAATAGAAATCTAAAATATTCAATTTTTTCATCCTAGTACCTAAAATATTTTTTAATCAATGTTACATGTCAGTTTTTTTACAACTTAGATGAAAAAGTTTAAATAATTTAGGTATCTATTTTGATATAGAATATTTTAGGTATCTATTTTGACTAAAAGATAATTTTAAGTATTTATTTGAAAAAAAAATATTTTAAGTATTTAAATAAAAAATAAAATATACTATAAGTATTTATTTATGATATAAGCGATCTTTTAACGATATATGACAAAATAAAATTATAATATTAAATATGATTTAAAAAATAATAATTAGATGATTGAAATTAAACAAAAATAATAATTTAAATACTAAAGAAAAGAATTTGGAGTCGAAAACAATTAAAGGGGTAAAGGGCGAGAAAAATTGAAAAATCACCATTTCAGAGTCTGAGTTATGGCCACAGCTCTGCCATCTACGACATGGCACGCAATAAAGCTTCAACCGCAGCCTCGTCTCCTTCACCGTCGGCGCCCCTTATTTGTCCGATCCTTTAGGAGGAGCGACTTCGACGCCTTCACTCGCCGCATGGCCTCCGGTGAGGCCTTGAAGGACGCCTGGAGAACCGCCAACGACGGCTTCGAGCAATTCGTTTTCGAAACTAAAAAGAACGCTGAACGCTTAGACCGCCAGTACTCCTTTTCCCGCCAACTATCCTCCGCCGTCCAATCTGCTACGGACCGTGCTCGTGAGATTGACCGGGAGTTCGAGATAAGACTACGTTGGCGGACATTTTCTATGGATTTTAGCAGAAATTGGCCTAGGGTTGGTGTTTTTTTAAATTTAATTTACTTTTTCTCTTGGAATTTATATACTTGCAATACTTATTGGGGGTTTTATTGATATGTTTGCAGTACAGGAAGCAGCTGAATGATTTGTTGGATACTCCGTTGGGAAGAAGTTCTGCTGTAAGCAACATTTGGCCTAGTTTCAGTTACATTGCGTTTCTAATTCTGAAATAATTTTTTTCATACAGTAAAAGAAGTAAATTGCGATATGTTCTAACTGATTAAATGCTTAATTTTCTACGATGCGAAGTAAAATCTTGTATTTTACTATCTATGAAAGTTGAATCTTAGAGTTTTAGTTTTTCAAAAATATTACAATTTAGACTTCTAAATGCTCAATTGGGTTTTGAAAGAAGGAAACCAAAGAAGAAGAATAAAGAATTAGACAAAGCTAGCAAATGTTTTATATATATATATGTATGTTGGTTGGACTCTTAATTTTTGTTGAAGTACCCATTTCTGATACATAGATAAGGGAATATAACCTTCAAGAATTCTCCAAATACATGAAAAACTTAAAAAATCTGACTGTACCCGCATGAGACACATGCCTGTCTTTGACATGCACCCTGGAGTCCTAGTAACATAGATGCTGACATAACTTATGTTCATGCATCCCCTGTTCCATGTCTGTTATGTTTATCTGGTTTAAAAACAATTATATTGTGAAAGAAGCTATTAACATTGGTAGCTGCAGGTGGTGGTTGTTAAATGTTAAATAATTGGTGAAGTTCAAAACTCTTGAGATGTGTAGTTTAAATTGCAAATATCCAATATCTTGTCTGTAACTAATTAAAAAGGATGGGACATTTACGTTGGTTAAGTAGCAGATATTCGACATCACTAGTCTTTGGTGTTTATAGCTGCCTGCACAGCAGTTAAGCTTCAACACCTATTTCAAGTTGCCTGTGATAGAAAATTTCATATGCCAAAGATGTTTGTTGCTTTCATTTTGGGGGTTCATGAGATAAGCCTATTATTTTATGTTGGGCCTATGTTTAAGGGTGAGTGTCATGTTATCTTTCTTGTCATGTCATGTCAGCTCTCTATCTGTTTGTGTAGTGGTCTTATATTAAAGTAATTGGCTATAGTCCCGATGCTTATGACTCTCATTCATCAATATCTTCTGCATTGGAATTAATCTTTCCAAGGTGTTTTCTTCAATGCAGAGAAAATTAGTCAAAATCCTTTGGATTTATTTTTATTTTTATGGGAAGTTCTAAAATCTAAATACTTTTTTGCTTGGGTTTGCTAGCTTATTTCTTTCAGGATAATAGAAGTTCTTTTATCTGTTTGCAGACAATTTTCTTCCTTTGGTTTGCATTATCTGGTTGGATGTTTCGATGCATAATATTTGCCACATGGATTCTGCCGTTTGCTGGACCGCTTCTCATTGGGACTGTTGCCAATAATCTTGTTATAAAGGTATCACTTATTTCTGTAAGATGACTCATGTAATGCAGGACAAAGGGAGGACTTGTGTAGCTTGTTTAGTTTTGATTACCTTTTTTTTTTACGTGTAAAGGTGATGCTAGGTGAGTTCTTTAACATGTGGATCTTTAGGATCCAAATTAAAGTTTTTCTTGGTTGTGATTCTTTAGGCTACTTTGTCTGTTACTCTGTAGCTGAACAAATATTTTACTTGCCATTCTGAATAACTGATGATTACAGTTGAAGCTGCTGTAATATGGTCCTTTAGTTGCAGAATGGTGATGATGAATGCTCGTGACTTCTTATGTCTCTTTCATTCTTGTTAACTATGAATTATAGACTACAATTTAGAAAAACTAGAAATTATAATTTTAAATGGAATAGTTAATGAAACAATGGTACTATGATAGAGTCCATCAAACATTGATATGTGTATAATAATTAAGCACATCCTTAATAGGCAGATCTTTATTCTATTAGCACATATTTATGTTGGTTTGGTTTCAGGGGGAGAAATAATTTGAAAAAAAAAAGAAAATGTAGATGGTAATTAGCCACTCTTTTACTCAGGATTCTAGATTCTTTAACCCTTTTATTAATCAAGTTACTTTATAAAACTTTCTTTGCTGTCCTCATCTTTCTATTTGTTTGCTTTCTTTTCAGTGGATTAGATTGAAAAGTTCTTGAATGTTGTTTTTCAAGGTTTTGAATGTATTCATGTAGAAATATGGAGCTTTTAGGGTATAAGATTGTGTTTTGTTTAGCAGAATGTAGCATTATCTTAAAGAACTTTTGACTTGTATATGGTTTTGTAAGGAAATAAAAAGTATTACCTTCTATGTTGACGTGCTTTGGAAGGGCTTGTGTTCTGAAATTATTTTATTACCTTCTATTAACTTGTAAAACATTATTTAAAATGGCTTACCAACCATTCCATGTTAAAATTTGGACAGGGTGCTTGTCCAGCTTGTAAGAGAGAGTTTGTTGGCTATAAAAACCAAATAATCCGATGTGCGAGCTGCGGAAACATTGTATGGCAATCCGAAGGAGGCTTCTTTCGCAGGGATAGCAAGGGCTCCAATTCAAGAAAGTCGGAGCCAGAAATTATCGATGTCGAGTTTGAGGATAAGTGACAAGATGTTGTCAAATTATACAAGTGATGTTTCACTTTTTTTATGGAGTCGAACGAGACTGGAATGCAGTTCTTGCTCATTTCGTCTGAGGTTTGGTTTCTTGAAAATCTCATGTAGCCATTAGCACCTGTACTGTATAGCATCTTTCTGGGTTGTAGTGTCTTTGTTTACAAGGAAACTTAGAGGATGGTAATAATTTGGTCATGGAAAATGTTCCATTTCATAAGCTATATAGGTTGTAGTTTTAAGTGTGAAATCCTAAGCTTATATTGGTTTGAAGTACGGGTGTTCATTTCCGGAGACAGGATATTATCCAATCCAAAATTTTGGATATCCAAAATTTCAATTACTAAAATTATGATCCGTATCTGATCTTAAGAAATCGGTTATCTGGATTCGAACTTAATACGTGATATAACAAAATTTTCATATTTAAATTTTATATTTTGTGATTTTATAAAAATAGACATTTAGGGTCGTTTGATTTTAGAAAATATAAGTTAGTTTCATTTCCATTTTCTTAAAATTTAAAAAATAGAAAATGTTGAATAAAACTTGTTTGGCTGTAAATTTGAAAAGAGAAAATAACCTCAGTGACCAAAAATTCCATATAATATACGATTTTAACCAACTTTTTTCGGATTTGCCAAAATGACCAACAAAATCGCAATGCGATCGCTAATTCGCAACGCGATCTCCATTATCGCAAATTCGCGTTGCATTTTCGCAATGCGATAGTTGAAAATCGCGTTGCGATGGTCTACAGTATCGTTGCGATTTTCCCAATTCGCAATGCGAATAAGTAAATCGCAACGCGAATTGGGAAATTCGCAATGCGAATAAGTAAATCGCAACGCGAATTGGGAAAATCGCAATGCGATACTGACTATCGCAATGCGATAATAAAAAATCGCAACGAGATACTTACTTTCGCAACACGATACTGACTTTCGCAACGCGATTTACTTAGCGCCATTCGTATTAACGCGTATTTTTTTTTTCAAATTCCAAACACGTATTTTTTCTTAATAAATCGGAAAATGAACCGTCCACAGTAATCGCAACTCATAACCTCAAACCCAAAAACACAACACTCAGTCCCATCTCCATCTCTCACTCTCTACGGCGAAATCCGTCCCCATCTCCGAAGATTTCCGTCCCCATCGCCGGCGAAATCCCTCACAACCATTCACAGTCAAAAATCCCTCACAATCATTCAGAAATGGAAAATCAACCTCCGAAGGTTAGTTTTTTTATTTTATTTTGAAATTTTTGCATTATTTTAGGTTTTTCATATTGAGATTGATGATAAGTTTACTGGTAATTTCATAATAGATTAACTATTTCACTTAGATTTCTTATTAAATTCATTCGATTGCTGCCGATACTGCTAAACTGTTTAGCCTGTGAAGTTAGTATTTTTCTTTGCTTTGTCTTTTGGTTGAAGTAATGCAGAAGAAGAATAGTTTCGAGAATGAGAATCGCAACGCGGAAATGACTATCGCAACGAGATAATCGCAACGCGAAATAAAAATCGCAACGCGAAACCAAAATCGCATTGCGATTTTCATTTCGCGTTGCGATTTTCATTTCGAGTTGGGATTTTAATTTCGCGGTTGCGATTTTCATTTCGCGTTGCGATTGTCTGGTCGCGATAGTCATTTCGCGTTGCGATTCTCTCGTTGCGATAGTCATTTCCGCGTTGCGATTCTCATTATCTCGTTGCGATTTTCATTTCAACCAAAAGACAGAAACAGTGTTGCAAATTTTAGTTTCAAGAATAAACTACTATTTATGTTTATTGTTTTGTTTTTGGTATATCTTGACAGTGTAATTTTTGGTATATCTAACTTGGTATGTTTATTGTTTTTTTGTAGAAATTTTTTCGGCTTCATTGACATTAAGGAATAAAGTTAGCCTAGCCACTACAATTGCTTCGAAGCTTTCACCTGCACAAAGAAAATTGTTTGAAGAAACCTGCTTCGGGCCATGGCTGAGAGTACAGCATCCGGGTGGAGATACTAGTTTGACCCATTTGTGGCTTCAGACCATGACTAGCGATCTACCCGACAGTATACAACGTGGTGAGGAAGAGATATGGTTTCATTTTCCACCGGCGTATACTTGTTTTGGGCGGAAGGAGTTCTGCTTAATCACTGGTCTACGATTCGGACACGATGATGTAGGCCGGTACACTCGTCATATCACCCGCCCATCATGGTTATCCAGGGTTTTTCCTGATGAGTCAATAGAGAAGCCGAACTTACACGTCGACGACATGAAGAAATTGTTTAATAAGAAAGATGGTTTTACTCGGATGAATGACGTCGATGTTGTCCGAGTATGCCTTCTACTACTTTTGTATGCCGGCTTTCTAGGCAGAGAGGCCAGACAACCTATTCCTCAGGAGCTAATATTATTGGTAGATGACCTAAATGCATGGAATCTGTTTCCGTGGGGTTCGTATATATGGAAAGCTACCTGGACTAAGTTGTCGTCTGCCTTTGATGACCGCAAAGTTTGCGGGGCGATGGGTCGAAATACACTTTGTCAGGCTTTGTTTGGGCCTTTAAGGTAAGAATTTCTATATAATGTTTTCAAAATTATAATTAATTATTTAACAATTACTAATGTTTGTTATTATATTGTTTGTAGATTTGGATATTCGAGGCTTTCCCCAGCATGCGGACATATGCATTAAAATCCTCAGATGATATTCCTAGGGCTATTTCCTGGAAGAGGAAACGTATGTTGGATTGGGAAGACTTAATACCATATGCGACAATAAATAATGTAAGTTAACACAAATACTATCATATATAAACAAGTTATTAATAGTAGACGTTTAATTTTGTTTTAGTTTTTATATTATTAGGAGGCCAACACTCCATTAATGAGACTGACACCACGGAGGCTGAGCTTGCCACTGATTGGTGGCAAGCTAGTCAGCGTTTTTTTGATGGCACGAATGATGAGCAGCCTCCACTTCCTCCACTTCGAGAGCCATCACCTCACCCAGAGCCATCACCTGATCGACCCGACTATACACCTCTACAACGAGAGCCATCACCTATCCCGTCACATTATCGAGTCTCTTCTCCACCATCACCTCATGATAGGCGACCGACAAAGATGCCACGACTTCTATCTCCCTGTTCTCCACCTCCACGGGATGAGTCAAGGGAGTTACGTGATGAGGTCAATGCCTTGCGTGAGGAGATCGGTACTCTACGCGATAACGATGGTGCATGGCGTGTGGAGGTGTCTACTTTACGTGGTGAGGTTGCCGCTCTACGTGAGATGGTAGTATCGTTGCAGAATGAGGTTCATACTCTACGCAACGAGGTAAGTTTAAGATTTTCCATATTTAACTTGATGATAAATTTACTCGTAATTTCACTTAAATTAACCATTTCACTTAGATTGCTTAGTAAATTTATTCGGTTGCTGCCAAAACTGCTAAACTTTTTACTTTAACACTGTGAAGTTAGTATTTGTCTTTGTTTTGTCTTTTGGTTGAAAGTTTGAAATATATTTATCTTTGTTTTCACTGTTTAAATATCATGTCTGTTTATTTACTGATATTTGTATTTTTATTTAGCGGACCGATAAGGTGGATGCTTTACGTCAGGTTTTTCTTGCACGACAGAGTTCACGCATCAGACGGCGTGCACGTGCTATTAAGTCTCCGTATACCCCAATAGTGCGAAGACACCGCAAGAAGAAGCCCGACTCGCCTATCATCCCTCAAGAGTCCACTCCTATCGTTGAATAGGCCCCTATCATTCCTCGAGAGTCCCCTCCCACCGTTCAAGAGGCCACTGTCATCGTTGAAGAGGTTCCTCCCACCATTCAAGAGCCCGATTCACATGGCGTCATATGTAGGATTCTTGAGAAACCCTCTGACGTGCCGGACATGATGGATTCAAGTTGGCTCTCGTATGAGTTACCGGCCAGTACCATACCGGTATCTGAAGAGGAGAGGAAACAACTACCGGACACAATTCTGGATAACACCCTTTGGGCTAAGACTGCAGTTGATTTTTATCTACACGAGCGAAGCCAGGGGTGTTTCACTGACATATGCAATCTCAATGATGATATCTATTTGTTGCTTGATCGGTCTTGGTGGGGCGTATTATTAGGGGTCGAAGACAATGGCTATTTCGATGGAGGGGTAAGTCTTATATTTTTCTATATTTTCATTTGATTAATTTGTTTAAAAATTAATGTAATTCACTAATATATGTATTTTTTTGTAAAACAGCATATCGATGCGTGGGTGTCACGTCTACTAATAATTAGGAAACTTAAGGAAAATAAAAGAAATACACGGTATACAATAATGCCGACGGCTTTTAACGCAGTTCACTTGAAGAATCAACGAGATGAATCATTTGCGTTGGGCAATGGACAAGCTAAACTTTATCCTGCATGGTGGAGGTCGATAAGGTTAGTGTTTATTTTTAAATTTTTAAAGGTGTTCATAAATAAGTGCGCAAATAAATGAATTATTACTTATGATTGCAGGTGTTTATCCCTGTTTTGGAACGTAACCATTGGCTTCTCGTCGAGCTTCAGATCCCATCCCTTAAGGCAATAGTATATGACAGCATGATAAATTACATATCATTGGCTGATTTAAGAGATATTATTAAGGGATGGAGCTCTTATTTGGCTAAATACTTGGATGCGATAAATTATTGGACTCGTTCTGGAAACAAGAAGCCAAAGAAGCTCAATATTACAGTTAGCAGAGACGAGACCGCACCACAACAAACGAAAGGACCCAGGGGATTGTGGTCCTCTCGTATGCTTGGCGTTGGACCGTTTGATCACAGGAAGTATAAAGTATCTACCTCCCACCGATATAGATAGAGCTGCAGTAGGCTTGTGGTTTCGACATTATATGGCTAGATCGATATATACGAGACGCTGCCCTACCTGCATCCGCGTTATAAAAATGTCCATAAACAATTGGTATGTTTATAGGCTTGTGGTTTGAAAATGTTTGGTTAAGTACCTAGAATTCAATAATTTGCTGTTTGTAGGTTTTAGATGTGTAGAAAGTGTTGTTTGAGCAAATGTTTGGTTTATGCAGGTTAATCTCAGAAGTGAGCTGCGTGAAAATGATGTATGGCTGCAAAAGTTGATTCAATAGTAGAAGTGTTATTTTCTCTAATAATTATTGCTTATTTTTTGATTGTTTAATTGATTTGTAAAAGGTGATTTGTAAAAGTTGATTTGTTTAATTGATGTTAACATAATCTCTTTTGTGCTTGTTTAATTGATTGAAATGTAATGGTTGATTTTGTTGATTTCAATATGCATTATGTTGAAGGCAAAAAGTACTAT